AGGCAGGAGCGCATGTAGCTGTTTCATATTAACAAATCATTTAGTGACAATAATAATAATAATAAATATAAATATACAACAATTTATAATAATTATAATAACAATAATAATAATAATATTGATATACATATACAAATGTATTTATTTATGCATGTGTTGTGCTCCATTAATCAGTTCAATATATATTGATGTTAATGATATAGAGGAGGAGGAGGTGTATTGTTCAATGTTGTGAGTGAGTGGTTTCAAGTGATTTCAGTTGATATTTCTAGTATTATGATATGACACAAGATCCTCTCTATAAGAAATAACAAAAAAATAAAATTTATTAATATTTATTAATCAACGTTACCTTCTTTCGTCCTTTTCTCTTGTTACCCCCGGTGACCGTTGCCTTGGTAACGCCTGCTGCCTCGGATGAGCGGCGAGGTAGACAGTGATAGGTCTCCAGTACAGAGTGCCAGTCCTCACAGTCTGAGAGAGAGGGACAGGATATCTTGATCGGTTTGAGTTCTGGTCCTCCGTTGGAGTGTTTAATGATAATGTCCAGTGATCCTTGAGAGAAGGAGAGAGTGTAGTCAGTCTGTAGGTTGAGGGTGTGGGTTGAATCAGTTATCAGAGACTGTTGGTCTGTCTGGCCTTGTCTAAGAGCAATCTTCTATAAAAAGAGAGAGAGAGAGATCATTAATTATCTGTTACTATCTGTCATTCTAAGAATCAAGTCATTCAATGATCATACTGATATCACACCGATACCATAAAATAGGTCCATCAATTTTAATTTAATTATTTCTTTATTATTATTATCATCGCTAACGAGTTACCATAATTCTTCTGAAGACTACACATGTACATGTATCCACTAACGTGTTACTATTAATAGTAACGATACATGCAAGTGTTACTATTAATAGTAACGTGTCTCAATGAGTGATTAATGTATGATATTACTGGATAATTGTAACACTAATTGTACATGTACATGTATGACATCACGTGACATCATAAAGCACATGTATGACATCATTTTACATCATAATGTACATGCACTAGATTACATGGTAATTCTAGCGAAATCCTAATACTGCATATACATCTATACATCTATACATCTATACATGTACATGTACATGTACATGTGCATGTACATGTACATATATATTTCTTACCAGTGCTTAA